CACGCATATGTATGGTACAGATATGCGCATGYGTACATTGTTTAAAACCATGGCTACCAAGGCTATTCCCTTGAGCAAGGAGTGCTTCTCCACAAACCAACGAAACTGTTTTCTTTTTCCTTTTAATTTTTTGGTATTATTTTCTTTTGAAATTGTCTTCAGTGGAATAAAATTTTCAAAGAAAACATTAAATTTTTTTTTGTTTTAAGTTTTAAACCAGTTTCACYGCTTCATTCCCACCCCTCTCCCCTTCAGGAAGCCTTTCTTGTTTTGTCCAACTGATCTCTTGGCTGCTGTAGGTTCTCACAAACATTTGAGCCAGTCARATGATAGTGTTCAACCAGTGCATATGCTTTGTTGTTGTGGACAATATAGCAAACAACCTTTCCATATTTTGGTGATGAACAGTTACCCAGGTGAACAAGTTAAGTGCATGAATTTCCCTTCCTTGAAAACAATAAACTATGATAAACAGATTTCTTTAAGAAACTAATACCCTTGATGTTCCAATTTTATCAACTAGAATATCAGAATAATTTCAATTTCTTTAATGTTACTGCTTTTGCTGAGAAACTGAGTAGCAAGTGCTTCAACTTGCTCATTTCCACTGCAGTTCTTTGCAACAAACCTTTTATGACATATCCTGCGACCATAGTCTCCTTTACCTTCCCCCGAGAGAGATAAAGGAAAGAAGACTGGTGAAGGATTCTAAATGAGAAAATCTCTGAGCTGTTAATAAGATTCTTGAATAAAATCTTATAAGATCTCATTAAGATCTTGTATTTTATCGTAAGATTCTTAATAAGATTCTTCATATCAAGATCTTAGTGAGAATCTTATTAAGATCTTATTAGACTTTGGACGGGATCACAAATCTTGTTAAGATTTAGTATCCTACTAAGAAACTTATAAGATTCTTATAAGATCCTATGAGATCTTATAAGATCTTAATAATATTTCTTCCTGGGATAGACTGTTAGAAAAAAGATGGGGGTAGGTGGAGTATAAGCTGTATAAGTCGTATTCTATGGTGTACTATCCCCGCCAAAAATCGAACTTTCAATTCGACATTGTACTTTTTGGATTTTGGATAACATTTTCCATTCTTTGTTTGACTTTTCTTATTATGGGCAAAACATTTAGTATTGCAACATTGTACATTGTACATCCTAACTTATACACCGCAAATTCTACCATGTCAGTTCTTCGTATATACCACTGTATCACTATGTTGTCACGCAACTTTCGACTGTATAAAGTCCAACTTTGAATCTTTTCATTTGACATTGTACTCTTGAAATCGTCGACAACTTTTGGAGCTAGGGGAATCAAATGTCAGCGATCTCCGGTTTCAATTCGTTAACCATTACTCTTCGGTGACYTTTCTACTCRCACGTGGTAATCTTCGTCGAACAACTTGAAACTCCGCAGAAAACCCTCTGAATCGTGATTGTGCCTAACCTCTGTTAATGGATGACATAGATGAAATTGTTCGTGCAATTCATGACATTGTAAATTTGATAGATAGAACCACGTCTTCAAGCGATGATATTGGAATTATAGTGGTCAAATTGGAYTACCTTCATCGAGTCGTAGTTAACCTTGATCTTGACAGTACGATCATATCGTTGATTGGTGATGCGTTTGAAGCCTTATCCAACATTGAAAAACAAAGAAGCGAACTGTATTCAGGAGGTTATAAAACCAATGTTTCAAAGACAGGGAGACGTGGTAGACCAAAGTACAACGTAAATGCTGAACACATCTTGTTTTTACTCGAGCAGGGTTTTAAAGTAGCAGAAATAAGTGGAATTTTAGGAGTCAGTTTGAGAACAGTCGAAAGAAGAATGTCGGAATTCGGTTTGAGAGTTTCAGGTAAGTACGTACAATTGCTTGCTTCTTTTTATTACCGTAAAATATTGCCGCCTTTTATGCAGACATTCTTATGTTCGTTATGTTGTCATGTTGCTTGACAAGGATGGCGGAGTATACATTTTGGCAGTGACCGCTTAATAAAGGTGAAATACAATGCAAGTTTACAAATTGGTACGTTGATATGGTGACCGCGTCCGCTTAATAGAGGTGACCGCTTAATAGGGGTCAAGTTTACAGTATACATGAGAGAGAAAATTTGGGACTTTAGTAAGTGACCGTTGAATAGAGGGTGACCGCTTAATAGAGGTTCGACTGTATAGAAGGAACAATGTGTTTAATAAAACCAGCTATACTAGCTAAACTGTCTAAAAGTATATGGTTATATATTGTCCAATATATGTAAAAATCAAAGTTCAGTAATTGCTTACGTGTAAAAGCAAAGTTGATATCCACTAGCAAGTTGCAGTGTTGTACTTGACTGTATAGGTTTCAAAGCGTTTGTTTTGCTGTTTGAATAGCTTGTTATAATAACAAATGAATATGACGAGATGAGAGACCAAGCACTACACTACCGACAATCATTGCGTTAGAGGTAGCATAGGTTACTGAGATTGAGTCAATTGTATTTCAGGCGTTTTCTGAGTTTGAGGTAAAAAAGTTCCATCGATACGTTCATATGTATTGTCTAATGCTTCAGTGGTAGTGTTTCGTTATGCGCGAAAAGCATGAATTTAATAATAGATTCCTTTCTGCACGCACGCACGAGTAGCTTGCCTCGGATTAAGTCGCATTTGTATATAAGTAAGTGACGCTAATTTAAATTCAGTTCGTCGAGTTTCAGAGCAAGCTACCGGATTTCGAACCAACTCGTATATAACTCGCGAAGAGAATTAGTTCTGAAACCGTAGCTTGTAACATTTCGTCAATAAACGAAACAGGTAGTTTTGATAAATTCTAAGAGCGGGCCAATATTTAATTAATCCTAGTGGAGATTGAAAACAGTGTCATTAGGGGTTGGTGTCCATTGTACATACCATAACGTCTCAGCATAGTTATTAACTGTGGTGTCAGGTTGGAAGAGTAGAATTGAAGTAGATAGTACTTTAGGACTTGCACCAAATCCAGTCTTTCAGAGAGCATTGGTTTCGTTACATAGGATGTGGTAGATGGACAATGGTGTTTTCTTGAGTACTCCAGAGGTTAAGGAAATGTTTCTGGATTATGCACACCCATTCCACGCTAAATGTACACATTAGGGTAAAAGAATTGGAAAAAAGTTATTTAAGACATTTTTATTTTTTTGCTGTAGTCAAAAAAATCCAATTTTCGGAATCTGAAAAAAATGTAATATTTAAATGTAAAAAGTGCTAGCCAATAATTGAATGGCTAATGTTTGCCATTTGTAAAATTTATTAAAAATAGAGAAAAAAAATTATTTAAATTTCTTAAAGCCATAATAAGTGGAGCACATATGCTTGTGAGGTCCAACACATATCACCGACTTATAAAAAACTCTACCTAAAGGAATATGAATATTTCAATTTTATCGCTTCATTTATAGCTAACAGGCAAAAATAATTGTCAATACAATAATAATAATGTTTTATTGAGCGTCAATTCCCAGCGGTTCAACGGCGCTTTACAAAATACAAAAAATATTCATTATAGATAAATAGAAAGTAAGATGATAATTAAAAGNCTCCGGGCTGCCTAATTTTTTTTCTTTATACAATTTATTTTCATAGCTCAAGTTTTATTTTCTTTATAACAATTTCTAGAGAGAGATATTAATAAATTACTGAAAAAGAGCCTTGGGTTGCCTGCGTTTTTTTGACACCTTAGGTGTAAAATTTCACATTTTTGACATGCAATTTGGAAAGGAAATTTTATTTATATATTTATTACGAAGTACTATTTTAAGTGTATTGGATACAGTGTAAATAAATTTTGTAGAAATGACAGCCACTTTACCCAGTTCTCATACCTTAAAGGGCATCTCCAAAGCCTTGGTCATCGCATCCAGAGAGCTAGGATATGTTCATCACTTCGGAGAACCGATCCTACCGGAGTAATGCAGAGATGGCAAAAAACTATCAAAAGACGCCAATATAGAGTAAGAGCCCCTCTTTCTTTGTGGCATATAGATGGGAACTACAAATTGATTAGGTATGTACTGTATAGAATTTTAGGACAAAAATACATTATTTTCATTGCCTGTGTGTCTAAGCTCAAACGTCGAATTGCACATGAGCTGAACGTACACCGGAATAATAAGGCGGATGCCTATACACGCTTCACGAATTCCATGCTACTGCTGAAAAAAGTGGGCACACAGGTTGTAAAAAATTGCTATAATTCAGTATATTTGATTCGTAATCAACTTTATGGTACGCGTCCTTAAAAATTTAGTGAAAATTTATCTGGTAAAAACTGGAAAAATAAATAAATACAAATGCAATAAAGCAGGTTTTGAAACTAGTGTGCCCACTTTTTTATTCCTTGAGCATGCGCATGGAGCAGTTCGTGAGGTTATGCGTCTATTACGTTTGAATCCGGAGACAAAAAGTATGACTGGGATGAGGAACTTTATTCGAACGTTTGGAAAATACGAGTGTTTTAGTTTCCGGTAAAGCGCTTATATAATAAATTAGGATATAAAGACCTATCACATTGGAAAGTTTAACAATACACTCTATAGCTACAATGATCAATGTTATGAAATTAATGTCAATGTTTTTTTCCCCCGTTGCTTGATTCGCTCTTAGGTGGAGAATAGTAATACAGGGGGGAGTAGATGGATTTTCCAGAATTCCTGTTTACTTGCATGCTTCAAACAACAATAAAGCGGACACTGTTCTTATGCTTTTCGAGGAAGCAGTAAGTCACTATGGTCTACCATCCAGAGTACGATCAGACAAAGGTGGAGAAAACGTAGATGTTGCATCGTACATGCTGTCACATCCTCGACGTGGTCCAGGCAGAGGAAGCATGATAATAGGTATAAAAATGTGAAAACACTCCCCCCACTCCAAATGTAGATATTGAAATCAGTGAAAGCATGACGACATCACATAAAATGTTTGTTCTATTATCTTTTGTAGGAAAAAGCACCCACAATCAACGCATAGAGATACTGTGGCGGGATCTCTTTCAAGGCTGCCTTCGCATCTTCTACGAACTTTTCTATGATATGGAAAGTAGTGGCGTTCTTTTGCCCGGGGACGAAATCCATCTCTGGTGCCTTCATTATGTGTTTCTACCGATAATCAATCGCCATTTGAGAAAATGGAAAGACACATGGGTCTATCATCCTCTCCGAACAGAACAAAGCAAAACCCCTATGCAGTTGTGGATAAGAGGCCTTCAGTATACTTGGGGAACACAGACTACAGAAAGTGAAGAGGCATTTCAGGTATCAGCTGTACAGTATTACCTATGGTAATCAATTTATTTGATACTAAATGTCATTAGTAGCATGCAAATTAACTAACCGAAGCTATTGTTAATTTCAGCCGAGCGACTATGACAACTATGGTGTTGACTGGAGCGGACCAGTTTCCACACCAGAACCTGAAAGTGTTGAAGTGCCCGACACTACCTGTCCTTTATTGGAAAACGAAAAACATCTGTTAACAGATGTTTCAAACTTGACCATAACAGAAGCAATTGAAGCCTTTTGCACCAATGTTAGCACAATTTCACACATAATCAATCACCGCAATTAATTTTTCATGGCTCCACACGATGTGGACTGAACTGAAACAAACTGACTTAGAAGCCATATTTAGAAAACGCATATAGATAGTGAAGTTGTCTCTAAAGTCTCTTGGAAGAGTTTGGAGAATATTACTTGTATTAATGATGTCATTATTTTCCTTGGCGTATATTTCATTTCAACG